AATATATATATATATATATATATATATATATAGTTTTTTTGTTCACTTGCTACTGGCTGCGAATGAAAACATTTTTGGTTTAGGTAAGGAGCTCTCTTGCTTGTTTAGCTATTCTCCCTTTATGATTTTTAGAGTCATAGGGTGGGGAAGACAATTAGCAGTAATGCGGCCTTCCGGATCATTTCATGGAAATACGCAAACACTGTTATACACACCTGTTCAAGATAAGTACTCCTTCTTGATAGAGGATGATAAGCTTCGAGTTGGCGCTAGCAGTATGCAGGGATGGCGAAGCACCATGGAAGATGCTCACACCATTCATCTTTCTTTACCAAGATTGCCATCTCACATAGCATCTGAAGATGCAGCGATAGCTGCGGTTTTTGATGGACATTGTGGGAGTAAAACTTCTCAAACCTCTGCTATTCACATCATGGAATGGATTACATCCACGGAAGCATTCAGTCAGGGAAACATGGAAAAGGCCATTTGTGAAGGTTTTCTTACAGGTGATTCAGTTATGCATAAAACTTTTCCAACTGAAGCGAGTGGAAGTACGGGTAACTGTGTGTTAATAGTTCAAAACCACCTTTACTGCGGGAATGTTGGTGACTCCCGTGCGGTCTTATGTAGGGATGGGGTTGCTATTCCATTAAGTGAAGATCATAAACCGAATTTGCAAAGAGAAAAGGAGCGTATCTTGAAGGCAAAAGGCTTCATTCGTAATGGCCGTGTCAATGGTATCTTATCTTTAAGTCGTGCCCTTGGTGACTTTAGCTTTAAAGATAGTGATTTGTCTCCTGCGGAGCAGGCGGTAACTGCAAAACCAGATGTAGTGCATATGGAGCTGACTCCGCAAGATGAGTTTGTCATCATTGCCTGTGATGGTATATGGGACATGGTATCCAATGAAAGGGCTGTTGAAATTGTTCGAAGTGAAGTGGCAGATCACAGTGACCTTTCATTGGCATGTGAGAGGCTTATGGAAGCCTGCTTGTCGAGAGTATCGACTGGCGGTGGAACCGATAACATGACCGTTATTATTCTACAGTTCAAGAGTTTTTTCTTGAAGAAGGTAGAGTGTAAATTTGGGGCGATCTCTCCTAAGCCGTCAGAGTGAAATTTGATGCTTTTTTTTTTAAAGCGTTTACTTTTCTATTTGGTTTTTCTTTCCTTTGGGAAATTAATGGCCCGGCAGATCCTTTTCATTGCGAGCAAAGTAGGAAAGGGAAATGAGACATTTTGTGTGACTGTGTTTGTGTCTGAGGGGGGTATCATGTCGCTGATCGAGATAAATGTCTTCTGGAGTCCCTGACAAAACGAACACGAGCCAAAAAGCAGCAAAAAACAAAAATAGTAAAGTTGAGAGAGAGAGAAATAGTATGTTTGAATATGCCACTTCACTCGTGCCAACAACATATGAAAAACATAACTAAAAAATGCTTTTCTTATTTTGCTAGGTTCTCATCCGTTTTTTTTTTCTTCTTCTTTCTTTGCTTTCCAGAATCCTGTGATATTGGTCTGTGATAGCCATCGGAGAAAGGCATTCATAATTTTGGAAACACATTGGGCCTGCTTGTATACGGTCTTCTTATTGCGTTTCTTAAAGAAAAAAAAACTTGCCATTATTTCACTTTTCCTATTAATGCGTCTCCAATATTTTTATTACTGTACCCAGTCAGAGGCTGCCTTAACTATGTGCAGGAACTAGTTACTATGTTTCATTGTGCACATTTGCACTAGAACCGCTTTGTTTTTTTCTCTTTCTCTCACTCTCACATGTGGCTGTGCGAGAATGATATCTGAGAGTGACTGGTGCGTGGTAGGCAGGTACCGTTGGCGGTCGATTTCTCAGCGGTATGCACATTTAGAGGAACAGAGTCTGTACGATGATGCAGGTGCCCCCGAAAATATTCCCATCATTTTCTATGACACCAGACAGGAAGATGGGAAAACACTGGCCCCACTCTATGTCGCTAGAAAAGTTTTAGTACCACAAGCTTCATCCAAAAAAGCAAAGGTGATTTCTGGGTGTACTCAGCCGCAGAGTACGATGCCTGTGATGCCCTTGGACCCGAGTGTCAATTGTGGAACGTCTCCTGTAGCCTCTGTCTCTCGTCATCCGGAAAACTTCCCGCTGGTAGTGGGGACAACTCTTCCAGTGCCATTACATACCATCTTTTTGGTTCTCATCACTGTCCTATTAGGTGATATTGCGGTGACCGCCGCTGGCATGACGACTACATCCACAAGCTCTTCCATGACTGCTGTTTGTTGCCTTGCGACACTTGGCCCGGATGTTATATCTATTGGCCTCATCCTGAACCGAGGGAGGAATTCCGCTTTTGCAGCTATTCATGTAGTATTGTGGCCTTGCTTTCTGATTCTCTTTATTTTACCTTTTATTTCGAAGCTTTTCATTGTACATATTCTCTTCTCTGTTGTCCTATTACTTTTTCTTGTGCGCTTCCGCATGGGCACGTACACCACATTTTTTACTTTTTAGCTAGGCGATGCGGGTGGTTGGGGTGGTGCACTGCCGGGCAAGTTACCTCTGGGAATAGTGACATTTGTACACAACCCAGGGATGCTGACGAAGTGGGAGGGTGGACTGGCACGTTGAAAATAAAATGAACAAAAAAAAACGAATGCAATGCAACGACAACAGCGGCGGTAAAAGGTGTGTGCGTACGCAGGAATCTGAACGAACAACAACAGAGGCAATACAGAAAATCACTCTGGAGGCCTTGCTTACCACCACCATCAGCAGCAAACAGCCTTCTGCCTGATACTTTATCTCTTTATTGTAATGGTTGCGCCTGTGCGTTTTTTCTTTTTTAAAACTTTTTTAATTTTTTCACTTCCTCTTTTTTTTTTGTTATTGACTTTTTCTTTTTTTACGTGTGACACAGCCGTCAATCAAGACATCATCACATTCCACCAGGAGAGGTATATACTGTGTGCGTGAGAAAGTGAGAGACCGAAAACCAATTGCATTCATGCAAAAGGAGGCTGATAAAGCGCGAAAGAGGAAAGACGACAGTCGCGAGGAGGAGGAGACTGGTGTTTTTTACTGTGCTGACGGTAGTGTGTATGAAGGGAGGGTGAGCCGTCGTGAGCTTCCTGTTGAATTTTCTCTGGCGATGCCGATGCCGGCGCTTTCGGCCAGTATGCGTGGCCAGCTGCCACCGGAGCTGATGCCCCAAATCACTGCAGTTCAACATGGTAAGGGAGTGTTTAGGGACACGGGTGGCATGACCTACGACGGCAGCTGGTCTGAAGGAGCCATGTGCGGGGAGGGTGCGCTGCAGTTTCCTAGTGGGGCCACGTACACCGGTGGCATGCGCGGCAATAAATTTAGTGGGACCGGCACGTATCATTGGCCTGATGGTTCCCGCTACGAAGGACAGTGGGAAAACAATAAAATGCATGGGTTTGGCGCTTACGTTGATGCACAGGGAGGACGTTGGGTGGGTAAATTCTACCAAGGACATGGTGTTGGTTTATTAGCGGAAATCCACCTTTGAAAGGCCCACTGATTGTCGGTAAAAATATCGTCGGGGATAATGGGTTGAAAGGGTTCAGGCGATTTTCTTGACTGCCGCGTTCACCAGGAAGGGAATACTTGGCGCGTTGAGGGTAAAAACGGCAAAGGATATACACTAGAGACCCCCTCCCTCTTTTTTTTTCTTTTCACCTTGTTACTGTTCTGAAGCATGCGCAGACGCTGAAAAAGGGAGAAGGTGAAAAAGAGAGGAGAAACAAGTAATAATACACAACCGGTATTGCACAGGTGTGGGAGGAGAAACCCGGGATCAACAGACACGTGCAGGGAGCGGAAGAAAGGAAAGCTATAGTCAGTGATGTTTTGTAGAGGCATGTGACAGTGATGGCAACGAGTATCTTGTTCATGCTTATTAGTATTATTTTTTCCAACCTTCCTTGTCCAGAATTGTTCCAGAATAATAACAACA